ATCAGGAGCTGTACTTGTTCTGTCTGATTTAGGACCAAACAAATTAGATTCCCAGCTGTTGAACATCCGGCCATTTCAGCCTCCTCCGGGGTTCACGCGAGATTTCCTCGTAACCATGGTAACAACCGAAGCACACAAGGACAGAAGTCAAATAGAGGCTTTGTCAGGCATGTCATAATATATCATCTGAATGGTGATTCGGCTGGAAAATTAACAGACACATTTTGGAGACCTTTGAGAGCCATGCTTACTTGTTAAAAAGGGCGTATTTCATGAAATGCTCTCTAACTGACCACATAAAAATACTGACATTGTTCTTAATTGCAGGTAGTTCAAATATGTAGTGGCACACAGAAACTTCCCTTTTTACCCTGTCAGTGATAACAGAGGTAGAAATTAACTAAGTGCATTTACTCAAGTACTGTACTTGTGTACATTTTTGAGGTATCTGTTCTTGAGTATTTTCATTTTCTGCTACTTTATACTTTGATTTTGCTTTATTTTACATAAGATTATTGTACTTTTTAGTCACTACATATATTTGATAACTTTAGTTACTAGTTACTTTTGAGGCTAGATTAATTAAACAAAATACATTAAAACCATAAGACTTTATTGATCCTAGTTAGGAAATTTACAAGCTACCCAGCAGTATGTAAAGTATTTCAAAGTATAAGCATATAAGGTAGTTAACATTAGCTCTATCTTTACCATCTGTAACATTAATTGTGATGTACCCAATAATACACTAATAATTACTTAGTCCAATAATAAGATATACATTAATGTGAACTATGCTATTCTGCAGGACTTTTACTTGTAACAGAGTATTTTTTACACAGTGGTATTACTCCTTTTACTTAAGTAAACATTCTGTGTACTTGTTCCACCACTGAGTGATAATATGTTTGACTTTCCTCCTTGTTCTGACAACATAAAAAAGAACTGGCTGACATAACTACATACAAAATGCTAAATAAATCTAAGTGACAACCTTTAAAACTAACCATGCAGAAACATCCTGTTGAATCCGAGATGTCCCAAGTAGTTTGGGAATCTCATTTTGCTCTGGGCCGGACTTCTGGATCAAATAGAGAAAATGCCCATGTTTCAAATGGTAAACCGTTATTGTCAGTAAATCTAAACTTTCCATTCTATGTGTTTATCTGTGAAAATACTACATGTTGGCAATAAGTCTAAGCTGGAT